GGAAAGAATTAAACCAGTCTTAGTAAATCTGAGAAATCAAGAGAGAGAGAGAGAGAGAGAGAGAGAGAGAGAGAGAGAGAGAGAGAGAGAGAGAGAGAGAGAGAGAGAGAGAGAGAGAGAGACAGAGAGAGAGAGAGAGAGAGAACAAACTGAGAAGAGAGGGAGGGAAAACACCTGATGACAAAATAGCTAATATATGCGCATATGGAGCTAAATACAGATGTTGGAGGCCCAACAAAGGGACAACAATTAGGGTCAAGAATGAAAACTACAGAAATGACATAAGGGGAGTAGCAAGAGATGGCAAGGAGCCTGAGGGTCCGAAGAGTGTGGGTTCAGGTACTGAGGCAGTAGTTTTTCTTTTGTTTCAAACATAGCCTTGGCTGCCAGATCGACCTAGCCTTAAATTGGTACCAGGTAGTTATGGGAGGTAAAGGCGGCCGGCGTGATGTTGACTATATCACCCACCGACTGCAGACTGGTGTACACAATATAGGTCTGGCCGTAAATGCCTAATACACCAGGAAAACGGAGGGGGAGGGGAGGAGCAGTAGTAGTTGTCGTAGTAGTATTAGTTTTAGTGGTGGTAGTAGTAGCGGCAGTAGAAGTAGTAGTGGTGGTGGTGGTGGTGGTAGTAGTAGTTGTTTTTATTGTTGTTGAGGTTGATGCCTCTACATCAGTTGAGAAATGTTTGAAACAGAACATATATGTATTGAGACAGATTCTCTGCGAGAGGGGTGGTGGTGTTAGTAGCAGCAGCAGCAGCAGTAGTAGTAGTAGTAGTAGTAGTAGTAGTAGTAGTAGTAGTAGTAGTAGTAGTAGTAGTAGTAGTAGTAGTAGTAGTAGTAGTAGTAGTAGTAATAGTAGTAGTAGTAGTAGTAGTAGTATTAGTAGTAGTAGTAGTAGTAGTAGTAGTAGTAGTAGTAGTAGTAGTAGTAGTAGTAGTAGTAGTAGTAGTAGTAGTAGTAGTAGTAGTAGTAGTAGTAGTAGTAGTGGTATTAGTAGTAGTAAATCTAGTAGTAATAATTGCTTCTGCAGTATTAGTAACAAGAGTAAAAACAATACTATCAGATAACTTTCATACACGTATCTTAGATGTACAACAAACGCACAAACATGTATAAATGGATACCCTTTTAGCCCCTGAAAACCAATTTCTGCACTACACTGACAGCACTGAGACGATCTTGGTACGATCTGGAAGGGGGAGAGAAAGATGACACATTTAGGAACTGGTCTGGACGATGGTGATACGCATAGTGTTATAATCAGTTCCAAAAGTTGTGCCAAACTTTACAAAACTATAACGTAGTAACCGTTTGTTAAAATTCGGACCGCAATCTGTTAATAATAATGCCACTGTAAGAAAATAGTTAAAATATAACTAACATCTAACTGTCCCCACCCCCCCCCCCACCCTTTTCTGCCTCCCCACCTTACCGACCCGCCCTTTGTTTTAGTATATAAAGAGAACAGACACCGACTCAAAGCTCATCATTAGCGTGTTTACAGTAAATGGCTAGAGAAGTTGGCAAACTTCAAACAGCGTGTATTTTGCAGGTTATCCGTGACAGAAAATAAGGCGAGCTTATTTTGAAAACTGAAGTGGATGCGTCAGCCATTGCCATAATGCATGTTAAATTCGTTAATAAAAAGTAGGCGATCAGTGTCAATTACTGTATATTTTGTAGGGGTACACACATGTCCAGTCCGACAAACATTAACGAAACTCACCGCTGTAAGAAAACCGCAGCAGCTGTGCAACTGTAAGTTAAGAAAACATAAGGATATGTGAAATCTAAGGCAATATGAAACATATTTGCTTGTTGATCCGTACAGAAGTTTTTGAGACATTTGTTAAAGTCTGAGGGCACGAATTTTGGAACGGACTATAATACAATTACCTGCTGTCCAGATCGTTACGCTTTCGCCATTCACTAGTTGCGTCTTTATTTGATTAACACTGCAATACTGGGCGATTGGCTAGTCTTTTGGATGACCTGCTGATTGGCACGATTTGTCAGCTGACTAGCAGGCTAGGGGACTGAATGGGTGGCTAACTTGTTGATTGATTCAGTTTATCAGCTGACTTGCACGCTAGGGGATTAGATGGATGATACACTGATTGTAGTTCGAATCCGCATTGAGGGGGATCATTATGAAAATGATCTTGCCTCACAGGTCGACGCAGCCCAAAATGATGGTAAGAAAAATCGGAACAACTCTACGCAACGTTTCATTCAAACTTGGAAGGGCTGGTCGATCTTGGTCTTGATTAGAGGGCTGTACCGCTGTACTTTGGTATTCACACAGTCTTTTGCGATACGTGTTAATTATTATTCTGGGAGTAGAGGCCGCCGTCATTGTGTACTCGCTCGTAAGCAGTACTAGTGTTTGTTGGTGTATACATGAAAGTTGTCTGAAATTTTTAGTAGGAAATTAGTTTATTGGAGAGGGTAGCGTTGCGTGTCTGCAGAGACAGAGCGTTGTGCAGGCTACCGCAAAATGTAACGTAAACTGCGCTGTCTTGTCGGACCTATATTCAGTGTGTCGCAAAGCGGGGTTTTGGGTTAGCGCAGTTATAGATGTTCTGTGGTTGTCAAATGCGCTCACATGCTCTAGTATTGAGTAAGCATCGCCGTTGGTAGGAGCGTCGACCGAGCTGAAACCCCTGCGACTTACCCTTGCTCGTCTCAAAGGTTAACGCGGAGACTAAACGTTCAGTCGCAGTGTTCTTGCCGGACTCCGTCATTCATAAGTGTGTAAAGAGGCTCAGCCTGCGCCTAGAAATGTGAGTTGTACCAAAATATCAGTAAATTTTACGCTGGTCTCCCCATTTGTACACCGCTACACACAAGCTCGCTTCTGATTGGACCACCGACAGGCCACCTCACTTCTAATATGTCGGCCTCGAGCGATTCGACTTTCACACAAGGTCACGGGGAAATTCCTCACTCGCGCTGATACCGAGGGTTGAATATTTCCCCATGCCAGAGCTTTTAACACTTCTAAAACATTTAGATACTGGGTCTAACCCCCCCCCCCCCCACCCCACATTGAGAGTGACAAAACCTATGTCACATGTCATCTCTTTACGTAAATGCAAGACAACAACCGACTGCGACACCCATAACCTCAACCACAGTAGACTAGTCCAACCAACTTATCATTGGAGTTGACCTAATACCGGTGGTGTGTAAATGGGGAGACCATCGTATAAATAACCAAAATATCTTATGAAGTAACGGGGGCTGTTGTGATGTTGACAACATCACCAATCGATTGGTTCACACACTTATGGGTCTAGACAGGGCCGTCTTAAGAGCATCATAGGGCTCTGGGCAAATCAGTGTGCTGGGGCCTCTACGACACCCAATCACAGCGGTAAAATGAAGGTCGATCATTTATTTAAACAAAAAGTTGCTGGCACTTCAACGAAACTGGTGAAAGGCGGTTGTTGGTGGGGGGGGGGGGGGGATAATTAATAGGTTCTTTTTCATATAACATAAAATAAATTTAAATGTCAAATATATTATTATTTATGTCAAGTCACTTTATATACACAAATTAGCATTGGGTCCCTATTATCGTGGGACCCACATTGCAAGTGCCTAGAGGGGCCCCTGCGTTAAGACGGCCCTAGGTCTAGCACCATATGCTGGACGCACCCACGTGAAAGGAGTGCTTTTTGTTAGGCTATTACATTTTTTTAAATTTATAGAACAACTGCCAAACAATTAAAAATAAATTACAGTTACTGGACTTGAGTTTTTTATTGTCAATGAAATGATCTGTCGTGAGCTAGTTCTGTCGCCCTCTAAGCTTCTACCTAGAGGTAGACAGGTAGGTGCTTTCCTGGGTGGGAGGGGACATTTTATTAACCAGCGTCCCCGAAGGTGGACCTTCATGTTTTAGTTGTGACTAGGTTATGTGCGCCATATAAAATGGTCTAGCATTACTCGCTACCAACAGCCATGAAAAGGACTTCTACAAAGCTGTTGCGATCAAAGGACACGACCTATATAGTGTCCCGATTGGCGGCGAAGAAATATACCGGCGAGCAAATGGGCGACCCCGTCGTTGATGTTCTACTTGGAGGATTACCCATCGCGATACTACACGGGTCTTATCCTGGATGGAAATCCAGCAGGACAAATCCCATTCAGCCCGTTCAACCTTCTGAGAAATGATATCAGGGCACACGTGACGGTTGCACCAAGTCTTGTGCGGGTAAAGGATGGCTGTTGTGACTAAGTACTGTTTTGACTAGAATCCGCAAGGTTAGTAAAAAAAACTCAACATAAATAAGTAATAATTGAATAATAAAACCGTGGTTTTCGATCTGCGAGCGCCATAAGTTTCAAAGGAGACGGGGAAGTCAAGTAATGATAAAACTGAGTGTGTCTTAATCTGTTATATTAACATTGAAAGTTTCAAAATAAATAACATAATTTTAGACTATTTATAAAATAAAAGTCAAGAACGTTTCATGAGCAATTAGTACATTTACCGTTCCAAGATGAAATTGTGTAAAAACGCATGCATTTAATATAGATTAAGAGCACATTATCACCAAAACACTTTCCGGACCAATTCACGTCCCATCTATACATTCTCAGTCTGATCCAAGTCAGAGGGGTGTCACGTTGTACAGCTGTCTTCGAAAAGAGTCTCTCGTGTGACCTAGGGGGGTATGTTAGGGCCAGTTTTACATGTTCTGGAGTCGTTGAAAACTGTATCGTCGTGTAGTATGCAACACGCGACTTCGGCGCAGATGTAAGTGGTGGCAAGACAACGTGACAACTCTCTGAGGTAGAAGAGTCTGAAAAAGTATGAATGAAAGGTCAGGTAGTGTGAAGATGGGCTGGGAAACGTGAACAAGACCCATTTCTCCATACTTTCTATGTCGCCCCATCACGTAATCCTTTTTTTTTTTTAAATTCATAGGCGTGTGAAGTCTTGCCGTAGGTTGAAAACCACTGTACTAGAAGTTCCAGGGACTACTTGGATTCATCTCTCAAAACAACGGTCATAGTGTTCCGTCGCTCACTTGCTAGCATGGTCGTGTAGCTCATGTAATGAGTATCGCTCGACTTGCTCCAGAACGTCCGCTGGATTTTACACGTGAGTATCTTAATAAACGTCCTTCTGAAAGCCGTGTTAAACATGGTATAAATGATGGGATTTGCCAGCGATGCAACATAGCCCATCCACAAAAACAATGACATGACTTCTTTAGTGAGGTTTCTCATGCAACTCTCACACATAGCGTTCAAAATATTTACAGCGAAAAACGGAGTCCACAACACGACAAAGACTAGAAAAATGATACCAAGAACTTTGGAAGCTTTCTTTTCATTTGTTGCTGTCTTTTTCGATAATATATGTTTCACTGTAGCCTTGCCTTTGTGAATTCGGAATGTATTTCTAAAACTGGGTCGTTTGGATTTGACGTACTTTTGACCATAAAGTTCACTTTTGGGAGGCGGATTATTTTTGGGTATTTTATATTTTGGAGTCTGAAGTTGGCGCGGTCTGCGAAGTTTAATCTGTTGGTGACCTGAGCTGTCGTCTAGTGTATCGTCGGTTTCGTCAAGAGTCATTTCTCCCTCACTAGAGATGACTAGTTCTGGGAGAGGGCAACCTGCAGGGGATAGGTTGTGAGGACTAGTTCCATTGTTGAGCTTGTCCATGTTGTTGCTGGAGCTGGTAGTGTTGTCAATGATGATGCTGTTTGGGGTGGCCGTAGTGGCGCTAACGTTGTTGGGGTCTGAGACAAAACAGGGGAATCCATTTTGTTGATTATCTGTATTGTAGTGATTGGCGACAGCTTCAGACTGGTCAGTCTTGTTTTTGCAGTCTACAATCTCTTTAAGAGAGTCACTTCTAGCATGCTTCTTCTTTCCTTGCTTTTGGCTTTTCAGCGTGTTGTTTCTGCTGCTGTTTGAAGTCTTAGAGCATGACATCTTTGGCGTTGGAGGATGCAGCCGGATCGTAATTACATCTGAATTAGAAGACCCGGATGTTTCATTGTCTTCATCGTCGTTTTTATCTGAAGTGTTTTCTTCCCTCTCATCGTCAGAAGAAGACGTCAGCTTTATAAAGCATGGGTTTCGCCTGTTCAAAGGCGAGTTCGGGGCTGAATGACTGTATGAGCTTAGGATGACGATATTATGTTGAATACTCAAAGGATCTGCCAGGTAAAGAGGCAGAGATGCTTCGGGTTTAAGAAGTGCTTTCATCTCAGAATCATTTCCAGTATTAGGATTTGTCTCTTTGGCTTGTTTGGCATCTAGATTTGTCTCTTTGGCTTGTTTGGCATCTGGATTTGTCTCTTTGGCTTGCTTGGCATCTAGATTTGTCTCTTTGGGATGTTTGGCATCTGGATTTTTCTCTTGTTTTGACTGACGTCGTTCGCATCTACCAAATTCTCCTTGCAGGCAGAGGTCCATCTCCTCCTGGATCTGAAGATAGAAGAAACAATTGTATATCTGGATGGTTTATGTAGTGTGAGATACGTACATGCATACATACACAACTGTTTATGACTAGTTAAGAAAAGCATAGATAACAAACATGCTGTAGTCTTTATCTAGTGACGTAATACACAGGTAAAATGGAAGTAGGTATAAAATATAGATGTAACAAAGAAAATCAAATCATTGTATATTGATTGTTGTTAATAATACTGTAGAACAAATCTGAACAAATGACACCAACATAACAATATTCAAACGTGATTTTGACCAACATTCTGTTAATAAAGCCAAACACCGACATTTGCAACAAAATAACGGAAAAAAAAAAAAAAAATTCGGAAGACCAGAAATGAAATATCTATGAATTGCCAAATGTAGCTAGAAAAGACAAGAGTCAGAAATGAGGACACCAGGGAACAGATTAATTAGGACGGAGCAAGCACATCAGCAGCATCAGTTCAAATGGTTCGGACATGTATCGAGTCAGGTACAAGGTAGTGTACTACAGAGAGCCACGTCACTTAGACACAACGGACCCCGACCTAGAGGTTGCTCATCAAGCTATGTATAGATCGAATATCCAACGCTGCGAATATTAACTTCTACGTATGATATACCGAGGTTCGCGCCCGATTCGTTTTTAACACATATCATTGATAGAATGAACAGTGTCTAGAGAAAAGAATAAATGCATCAGAATAATAGTAGATTGTGTCGAACGTGGGGCAGTTTTGACAGACTGCGCTATACAGAAATAGTTCAGACAAAGAATAGTAAATTGTGTCAAAAGTAGACCAGTTTTGACAAAATTGGCTACACAAAGAATAGTTTTGGGCAAAGAATAGCAGATGGTGTCAAAAATAGACCAGTTCTGACAGACTAGGGTACACAAATAAACGTTTTTGGCAAACAATAGAAGATTGCTCCAAACGTTTGGCAGTTTAGACAGATTTTCATGAATAGAGTGATTTGGGGGGATGAATAATAGATTGTGTCAAATGTAGAGCAGTTTTGTCAGTGTGTGCTATACAAAGAAAGATTTTGGGAAAATGCTTTTCAAAACTGACCTTGGCTCATAATATGAAAAAAAAAGGCAGTAGGCTTGTGGTTGACCAGATCATCCCTTCCCCCTCCTTCGAAATCCGATTCGCCTATACAAATATCGCCCTCGCCCTATGTGCCCAGTGTGCCGAAGAAATGACAAGCGTCCTTAGAAACGTTTTAACAGATTATGACAGAGTTAGATATACCTATGACAGATTGTGACATAGTTAGATATATCTTTGACAGATTGTGACAGACTTGGATATATCTTTGTTAGGTTGTGACAGAGTTAGATATATCTTCGACAGATTGTGACAGAGTTAGATATATCTTTGACAGATTGTGACAGAGTTAGATATAACTTTGACAGATTGTGACTGAGTTAGATATATCTTTGACAGATTGTGACAGAGTTAGATATATCTTTGACAGATTGTGACAGTTAGATATATCTTTGACAGATTGTGACAGAGTCAGGGAGGCGAGGGTGCGGGCCTCATGATAATGTGCTTCCAGGCTCCGGATCTCGAGAGTGTAGTCCTAAAGCAGACAGTAAATTTGGGATAAATTATCAGTTGATAACTTCCAGACGACTGTAATGTTTAAGTAAGCGCATGTTTGAAAATGTGGGATAAGTGAAGGCACAAGCATGGCGACGAGAAATAGCATCTGCATCACTTCTGGACTATTCCCCCCCCCCCTCCCCCCCCCCCTTTTTTTTCCCCTCTTTCTTTTGGATGGAGAAAACCCGGAACTGGAGGCTTCTCCATATGAATTTCATCATGTTGGCATGACTTAAAGCCCCAGCAACATACGGTTGTTGTCTGTTTCTAATTCACAGTGAATTTTGTCATATTAACATAATATGCTTGTTACATAAAATGCCCAATTGTAACCCTTTGAAAATAAAGGATCGTTCGTTTGTTATTTTGTATGACGTTGC